GGGAGGAGCGATGTGCGGCTAAAGAAGCTCGCATCAGACAAATTCAACAGCGATTCATAACAGGTACTGTGAATAGTTTCGTGGATCTTTCACATAAACCATAGATAAACCCGACTGGCGAGTTTCGTCTCTTTCATAAAATATATTGAGGGTTATAATTATGACATCCGGAAATTTGTCCAAAGGACTTCATCTTTTCTTTGGCGGAATTAGCACTTTAAAAAGCGTTTTTTTCGCGGAATAAGACTACGTTAGGCCAAAAGCCACCAGCTGTGTGGTCAAAATGAAATGGAGGATTTGGTAGGGGACAGTGATTGGATTCTAACATAAGTCTATATGGTAGATATATTATGATGTCACTTAACCAGAGACAATGAATGAAAGCATCAAATATTGTACCACCTGATGAGATTCGGGACATCACACAATATCGAGAAAACGGTTGTTTAGTCATGCAACTTCTACTCGGACCAAACTGCCAAAATCGAGCCAGGATAGCGTAGTGTGGTAAGTTGTCTGATCGGGAACTATCCATTCTCTACAGTCTGAAAATGTGCCATGAAACACCAAACCAGCTGATTTATTTGCATTTCTGTTGTTTTTTATAAACAGTTTTATCCAGGTATTCACACCAAGTACCCGTCTTTTCATCTTCATTTCCTTGTTTCCCAATCAGCGTGTTATAAAGATATATATATATTTGTATGTCAAGAGAGAGAACGGGGATGCCCACTGACTTGAAAAATGTTTATTGTAGCTTTTCGATCCAACTTAGGACTCGTTATCAAAGTAGATCAAATAGATGAGAGAATGGATAGGATAGGATTACTGTCTTTCCGTCTGCTTATGTGCCATTTGTGGTGCCGTGAATTCATCAATCCTCACGGAGGTTGCGAACGTAACGCAATATTAGTCTACTATGACGTGTAGGTTGAACGAATTTATCGATTCAACGGCTTCTATAATTGACTGCCTCCACCATTCGTCTTTGTGTTATCGATCGCGAACTCGTGACCTGCCTGTGCTGCAATAGTTCCGGATTTGTAACCTCGGGTCAGCGCGTCGAATGGAAAGCTAGTGTTCGTGTAGGCAATTGTGTAGCTGTTTTTCTGATCCCAGTTCCCTTTTTTATATGTATCGGTCACTTTCCACGCCTGATTCACTCGCTGACAAAATTCCTAGGTTGTTATTTGGATAAGAACAGTTGAAAAAATTTACTTCTTTCTGGTCCTCTTAGCTCCGTTGTGCTGCAATGCATATTCGCACGATGGGCTGGCGTTTGAACACAACTTTTCAGGTGTCACAGGGGGCGGCTGCATTCATAATTTAGGATGCAACCTGTCGTGACAGGTTTATCATAGACTGTAGTTTGAATTCCTTCGTCTGGTTGCTCGTGAAGGTCCCCAACAAGGAATTCCTAAAGTTATTTTGATCACAAGCATTATCCAATAAAACAGAATCCATGAATTGAGTCACACAGAAACAAGGATTAAGCATATTTTCAAATATATTTTGTTTTTATCCACAAAATGTACGTACATACCGGTCCAGTTTCTGATGTGCCCTTGTATTCCGCTATTTTGAATTCATTAACGAATTCGATGCATCTAAGGTAGCGCACTGCTACGACGGGCACTGGCCCAAGTGGAATCTGGTTGTCGCATGGTTGGTCACGGACGACTGACAACGATTTTTGAAATCTCATTCAGTTTAACCGCATCTGACCAGCACTGTTGCATCTTTTAACGAAACAGTAAAACTAGAACAATATACATGATTTATTTTGTTTTATGATCGAGTTGAGATGTATGTTACAAGATTGAGTGACGTGCAAGATTGGTAACGACGCAATTAATTGATTATTCTATTCGGGAAGACAGAAGGATTAGTGAACAGTATTGTCATTCCCGGAAAGAATATACTGATATTTGCCAAATAACTTTTCTCCATCGGTAAGACGACAAGCTCCAACAAGGACGAAATAACAACTCAGTGCTGTTTTTTGATCATAGAACAAAATTAAAAATACAACGAATCATAATACACGGGGGGAAACGAACTACCAAAAACCAAGTGCCCTACAGAGGAGCAACGATGCACAGACCAACCACATTGTCAATGAGTTCCAAGTCAATGTTCCACTTGGATGTAATGTTCACTTTGAATCGTCTCTGTCAGTCACATTCGGTCTCTAATGAGTCTTGTTGTTGATTGAGCTCTAGCGACCGAGAGCTGTGAGTAAGGTAAACAGTTCAACCAAAGAGAGGAGGCCAATTCAGTCACATTCAACCACTACCTCTTTTTGGCAAACTAATCTTGGCTGAATGATGGCTGTGCACAACAATTCTCATTTGGCTGTGCTACTTCTATGACGTCATTGTGATACGTTTACGATATTTATCGACCGGTGGTTTTTTAAGCGCTTACAGCTGATCAGATTGGGCCCCGGAGGAAATGTTTTAGAATCCCACCACCATTGCCTGACTTACCACAATTTCTTTGTGTTGTAAAGTAGCCCTTTGATTAGTGATTTCTCTCTTCCAGAAAATTTCAGCAATATGTATTCCATAAAAGGGAGTCAGGCAACAAGGATTCGAAGACCAACCGCGACTAAACACCATGACCGTGACTGAGAGTATAAAAACACCTGACAAATGGATTCATCTGCTTGGAGTTATTTGGATTGGATCAGTCAATGGCTCAAGATAATTGGTGAAACGGACAGTCAGCTAAAATCTGAACCCATATATGCCTTGCTGTTTGTATGCGTGCTTTTCAAGCAAAAGGCTTCAAACCTGGATTGGCCAGTAGTTATCAAATACTGATCAGAGTTCTAATCTGGTACATCCACTAAGGATGATTGACCGGAGGGGCGGGGTTTGAAAATTCGTCAGTTGAAATTCAAAAATTCATATTCTGTTGAAACGCTATCATCTCTAGGTGACTATTTCGAAAACAAATATTATTTCCAAGTATTTTTCCTAAAATCTGATTTTGCAGCCTTGAGAAAATTGATGCGCCAACGATTGGCTATGAAGGAGGCATCCAAAACGCGGGACGTAATCAAAGACTATGCCAATCCATCATCACAGACATTCGCGCCACTAACACGTCTGGGCGTGTTCCCCGATCGTGGATCCGAGGCGAACGCTGTGAAGAATGCCTACTTGAACACGTACGAAGGTACAGACAATAATTGCCTAAATCGAATTTAACCAATTCGTTTGCTCTCATGTCTTATTGTAGTGTTTAAATTTGAAAAGGAAATTTCATTTAATCCTCGTTCAGCACTGACGGAAGGTTCGTAGTACAGAATTTTTATTTATAACCACCATGCTCCAAGAGGTTACGACAGAGCTGTTGTTCGCAAAATACGATAAACGGCCGGATGAAAAAGATTCTCAGGCCATCCTTGAACATTGGAACTTTCAGTTTGCAGCCGATAACCCGAATAGCTGTTGGCCTCATCAACAGTCCTCAACGGTGCTTCAGCAGTCCAAAAAAGAGTAACGGCAAATTCTGCACTTCAATTGACTGTTCAGTTTTTTCACTGTTTTAACTTTTGCGAGAAATATTTTGGTATATGTTATGCTGACGTACATGACCAATCAGGTCTGTTTTGTTTGTCTGGGATGATTGTACATCGGAGAGTTTCAGAAGTTTATAGAAGCCCAGTCCAGTCCAGTCTTGCACTTTTCCTGTTCACCTCGTTTCTTTTTATATTTTGATAAGTTTAAGCGGTGTGTGGCCATCCCGCGAAACCGCAGAACACCATTTGTAACATTCACTTTCCTCATCTGTAGCTCGGAAACACGCCATTCAGGGTTTTTCCAATTATTGACGCTCCACGATTCCGGGTCCACAAATCTATCGACTGAATGAGAACCATGTTAATGTTCACTTTGTTGAGATCATGACATGGATTCTTGTGGTTAGTTGTGAGTATTCGTATAAAGTGCTATGTGAATGAGGCAGCAAATGCAGCAACATCTGACTGTTTCCGCAATGTACAGCTCTAATCGGTCTTCGTAACTTCTCAGGATTAGGCTGAGTTTACGAGGAGGCACGAGGCAAGCTTCAGCGAAATTGATTCTCATGTACAGAAAATTATCAGTCAACCCTAGGGAATGATAAATCTTATTCCTTTAGAAAGAGAATGCCTGAAGTTCAAATAATATCACGATGCCATTTCTGTGCCCCTTCTGGTGTGATTCGCGGCATCCTATCTGATGATTTAACTACCTGATAATGTAGACCAGGACAATGAGCCTACCATTGCGGAGCAAGTAGAGTGGTGTGTCACCATATCATCTATATATCATGGTTCGGATGCACCATTTTCAGTATGGAATCCAGTTTCAAAGGCTTCGGCAGTTAGAAAAACTTTTTTCGCAGTGCACGGTCTTTTAGTGATCAACTTCGATGCAAAATGTGCGGTGTATTGTTAGTTACAGCTGAAAAGGTGAAACTATAAGTTGGACAAAGTTGCACGTCAAAGTGATTGGTGCAGTACCATAAACTAGATTCATGGTTGTGATAAAACGACCGAAGACTGAACGGACGTAGTTCCATTTGGGGAAATTACAGAAGACTGTAATGTTTTATTTATTATATGATATTTAGAGGCCGGTTACGAAAGGTATGCGAGAAAAAACAAAGTGTGGAGGATTTCGACTTTAGTATCTGTCAATCACTGACAGTTTGATGTCAGTGAAAATACGAAACCATAAACATATATAATCATGAACAACCGCTACAATGGCCGTCAGCTTACAGCTCATCTTTTGGGGCTTCTTAAATGCCCAGCTATGGATCACTTAAAATGGACGATAGTAATTGCAATCTGATATGAAGTTAAGGAATAATGTAACTTCTGAATATGAACATTTCATAACCGGTGATCTAGATCGGTTACAATGTTTCCCTCTGAAATTCTGGATTCAGTACACCATCACTCAGCGGTAAACTGGCACCAATTTTAGTAACTTAATCCACAAATTTGGTTGCATTTTATTAGAGGCAAACTTAATAACATATTTTGCCTACCCTACCCCCTTCACTTGACAAACTCTCCAACTGGAGTAATGAGGATCGATCCAACTAACTGTCAGAGAAACTAAATAGTCCGACTGAATTTCTGTAAACAGTGATGCAAGTTGATATCGGTTTTTCCACCTTCGGTTGTTTCTTCTTGGTAACATTCCCTCGGATTTCGGTTCACTCTTATCCTTTTAGGCAAACAAAATAAACTGAATCAAATGACTAGCACAAACAAGATAGGTTCTAAGGCATAAGTTGTCTGAATACAACCAGTGCTAGTTTAGTCGAGCGGCAAAAAATAAACCTCGATCGTTCTACTTGGTTCGGGTCTCTCGAAACTCGCTCACTGCTGGTTCCACTTTTTGCTTTTACAGGACTGTTGGAATTGGAAAGCAGTTTACCTCACTCTTCACTAAACGCCAAAATCAAAATCAAACCGATTCGAATGTATACAAAAGATGGATTTCTCCGAAGGGAATTTAGAAATCAACAAGAACTGGCAAAACTTCAACAGGTAAAGCAATCGGACAAAACTTGTGCCCTCGCCCCTTTGCCTCTGATTGGGTGATATCCCATTTCATTTACTTCCGTTACTGGTAGACTGTGATCACCCTTCCAGCTTTGACGATTGTGAACAAAGCATTCTAACTCTTTGAATAGGTTCACGCCTTCGATAAGCGAACGATGGGACACGTGACTGATTAGTTTGTTTGACTGGATTGTGTTCACCATCCACTTGTTTTGTTCGAATGAGCCCTATGGAATATGTTAAGCCTTATCTCCTCATGCTAAGAAATAAGCTCCTCTATTTTTTGATGTAGGACTCAACAAAATACTTTAGTGTGGCTAGTAAATTGAGATCAAAATATTACCGAGAATCGTCTAACATGAAAATATTCCACACAGGACATGGGCTACGTTGAAGGAGTTGCAGATGAACTCATGTCATTTATGATGATTTATGAGTGACTGCCAAGACTGATTCGCCAGCTCAAGAAAATGGTGACGATCAAACGGTTGAATTCATCATTACATTCAACCTGAGGTTGTCAAAAGTCAGTTCTTCAGGAAATGCTCTCGATATATTTTCTCTAGTCCACTGGACACGAATCACATTTGGTAAGGGAATCACAGGCGTTTATATATAACCCACTTTATATATAACCCTGAACCAATCAGATTGGTCGACGGACAAAATCAAAGTCTTCCGCGAACTAATCATAAAAACACAATTGATGCAGTAAAACAAACGATCAATTCAAACAAGACTTTCCAACACAGAGGTCCTGAGTCCAAACCCCGCCAATTAACTTTCTGTTGATTGAAGCCCCTCCCCTTTATACCAGCTGTTTACATCATCGCACCCACCACAATAAAGATACGGATTATTATTACTGCATGTATATAAGGATTAGACCTTATTGCGGTCTACACAGCGTTTTTAGGTCCATCTTTATCCGTATTCAGGCGTCAAAGCGGCGTTATTTCTTGCCCGGACAAACCGGTACCGTCTTAACTGTCCCCCCCCCCC